GCGGGGCTGGACAGAGCAGGGGCGGGGGCAGCGGGGCCTGCGGGGAACTGGGACTGCGCGGGTTGGGAAGGCAAGGGGGGGCCTTCCCGAGCAGGGCGGGAACGGTTCGAAAGCCCTCTCCTGGAGCGACGGCGGCGGCGGCGGGGAAGAAGGCGGGTGAGGGGGGGAGCTGAAAAGCGAGGACCCCCTCCCGCAGCCGCCATCTTGTTTCCCCCCAGCCCTGGAAGCCGAGCCGCTGAGCCCCGCCCCCGCCACGCTCTCCAATTGGCCAGGCTTGAGGCGAGTTCCACCCCCTGAGCGTCCCTTTCCACCCCGGTTTCCCCTGACGGACAGATGAGGTGGCCAATGGGCACTCGGCTCTGCCCCGCTCGTTCGCTGGCGCTAGCTTTCTCCGTCTTGGGGTCGGACTTCGCCTCAGTCTGTCTCTGGCGCGCTCGCCCCCTCCCCTTTGGGAAGGTGGTGTTATTCCCTCCTTTCTCCTCCGAAGGGTCAGGATTCTTCTGGAAGAGGTGCCCCTTTAAAGTGGCAGGAGTCTTGTCTGGGGTCCACGTCTCATGAGTATCTCGTGGGGTACAGGGGGTACCATCTAATTGCAGAAACTCATTTTTCTGGAACCTGAGTGGGGTGGATGACCGGGGTCTCAGCGAATAACGAAAAGACCTCTGCGGGTGTTAGAGATATTTGGAGGTGTGTATGTGGGAAGGGCTGTGGGGGATGAGAAACTCCCGCCAAAAAACTAAGCTCCTTGTGGGCGAAACTCATTTCATTTTACTCAGCAGCAGCCCTTTCCTTTTAGAGTTTGCCCCCCAGAGTCTGGAGGCTTGAGTAGGACAGAAGCGGTCTCCCTAGATACTTGCTGCTTGATGGAGAGATACATGAGCTGCTGGGGAGTAACAGGAATGATTTAGAGGGGCTTTAACAAAGGTGGGGGCCATAGCCTCTCTAGACTATGTCAAGTTATTACTGAGGTAGATTTTCACACCTCTGCTAGGGTCTCAGTGCCCTTGAGGGATTGGGGGCCACAAAGCAAGTCTTTTGGCCCTGGCTACCCCCAGGGAGTTGGCATCTGTAGGGCAAGTAGTGGTTCAAGGGCCTCTGGAACCTGGACAGAATTGCTGGAATGATTCTGTTTCCTTGGCTTCAAATGGGTGGCTCTCTCCCTGGCACTGCTCCTCAGCCACATTGTTTTTTGTTTGTTTCAGTCACACTTTGGGATTGGATGGCCTTTTAAATAAGGATGTTAATTATACCTTATTAACAAATAGCAACCCTTAAGAGGTAGATTTCATTGATTTAATTTTATTGATGGAATATGGAGGCACAGAGATTAAATGACTTTCTTCAGATCATACAGGGCCAAAAGTAGAACCTAGATTGCTTCAGAGCCTCTTTTTGTATGAGACAATGGTATCTCTGTGGTATTCTTACCTCCTAGTGAGATGAGTTGAGCAGGTTAGGAGATCTGGGTTTGAATTGTAGCTTTTACTAGTTTGGGGTTGAGTGACAACTTTCTGAGCTTTTGTTTCTTCATCTGTAAAATGGATATGATAATATCTATTCTGCCTCCCAAACTAGTTTTGAGAAATATTAAAAATAAAAGGGCTTTGTAGTTTGTAAAAATATGCTAATCATTACCATAACCACTTTATGGATAAAGATCCTGTAACCAAGATGACAAAACTATTTTTCTTCTTGAATTCCTTTCCTTGTTCATACCCTTTCAAGTCTCTGCCCACACCTCAGGGCACCATATCCCCAAAGTTCTTTCCTTGTTGTCATGGCCTCAGTAACTGCCTACCACAGGTCCTTTGAGCTTGTCATAGTTCCCTCCATGTAGAGAATGATGTGGGAAACTTTAGGGCTTTCTCTATGCTGCACGAGGGTGGACTAGATGTAAGTATTTGGGAGGAGAGGGACTTTTGAGGTAACAATGTATTGAGAGTTTACCTCAGGTATTGCCCCAGTCACCTTGGCCTTAGGTCTAATGAGGGTCCCAGATAGGTCACTTAAAACTTCAGTGCCACTTGGGGCTGCTTCCAGAGCTTCTGCTTAGAGATATACTAGCCAGTGCATCCTGAATGCTGCCTTTTGCAAAGAAAACCCTGAATACTGTAGTTCGAAGTCCTTAGACTGCATGAGATAGACATTTCCTGTGCCATCACACCTTCTCCCTATGCATAATCAGGGGATAGGGTTTCTGGTCATGGTAGGAGGGCTGTAGACTTGTGAATTTTTGATCCTTTGTTGGGGTCACTGTTCATGTCCAAAGCTTGAAAGTGGACGCTGTCCTTTTCTGAAGCTTTGCTGACCTTGTTGGGGTCACTGTTCATGTCCAAAGCTTGAAAGTCCTTTTCTGAAGCTTTGCTGACCCTCTCCTTTTCAACATACTTAGCTGTCCCACAGCCTTATGTAGATCATTAAAACATTAGATCTCTCCCCATGTTGCATTATAATGCTTTGTTTACTTTTCTGTTCCTTCTTCATTCAAACAGAACTCCTAGGAGACAGGGATCATGTTTGATTTCTCCTTTCATTTAAGTAATATTTACTGAGTACTTACTTAGGGACCAGGCACCATTCCAGGTGCTGGGGATATAGCAGTGAACAAGACAGGTAAAAATCCTTCCCCTCATGGAGCTTACATTCTAGTGGAAGGAAGCAAATGTACATGATAAATAGGTAAATTAGCATAGTAAAAGATGGTGAGTGTTATAGTGAAAGATAAAGCAAGATGAAAGATTGCTGGTGGGAGAAAGGGATTTGCAATTTTAGATAGAGTGGTCAGGAAAGGTCTCACCGAGAATTGATGTTTGTGGGAAGACTTAAAGGAGCAAACTATGTGGACATGTGAGGGGCAGGATGCTCAGACAGAGGGAACAGCCAGTCTTGGTGGCTGCTTGATCAGATGGAAGGGTGAATGAATGCTCATGGTCTCCTGGCTTTCTCTCCTTAGGCTTGTCCCCTTGTTTCCCAGGTGCCATGAGGAAGCCTCGATGCCGAGGGCCGGCGTTCCCCATCCCCCTACAGTCTCAAGTGCTCACCCACTCGGGAAACCCTGACATATGCCCAGGCCCAACGGATTGTTGAGGTGGACATTGATGGACGTCTGCATCGAATCAGCATCTATGACCCACTCAAGATCATCACAGAGGATGAGCTGACCGCCCAGGATATCACCGAATGCAATAGTAACAAGGAAAACAGTGAACAGCCTCAGTTCCCTGGCAAGTCCAAAAAACCCTCATCCAAGGGCAAAAAGAAGGAGTCCTGCTCCAAGCATGCGTCCGGCACTTCCTTCCACCTCCCGCAGCCCAGCTTCCGCATGGTAGACTCAGGCAGTCAACCAGAAGCACCTCCGCTGCCTGCTGCCTACTACCGCTACATCGAGAAGCCGCCTGAAGACCTGGATGCAGAGGTAGAGTATGACATGGATGAGGAGGACCTTGCCTGGCTGGACATGGTGAATGAGAAGCGGCGAGTAGATGGGCACAGTTTGGTGTCAGCAGACACCTTTGAGCTGCTGGTGGACCGGCTTGAGAAGGAGTCATACTTGGAGAGTCGCAGTAGTGGGGCCCAACAGTCACTCATTGATGAAGATGCCTTCTGCTGTGTGTGCCTGGATGATGAATGCCACAATAGCAATGTCATTCTCTTCTGTGACATTTGCAACTTGGCTGTACACCAGGAATGCTATGGTGTCCCCTACATCCCTGAGGGTCAGTGGCTCTGCCGCTGCTGCCTTCAGTCTCCCTCCCGGCCTGTGGATTGCATCCTCTGCCCCAATAAAGGTGGCGCCTTCAAACAGACCAGTGATGGGCACTGGGCCCACGTGGTGTGTGCTATCTGGATCCCCGAAGTCTGCTTTGCTAACACCGTGTTCCTGGAGCCCATTGAGGGCATTGACAACATCCCGCCTGCCCGCTGGAAACTAACCTGCTATATATGCAAGCAGAAGGGGCTGGGTGCAGCCATCCAGTGCCATAAGGTAAACTGCTACACAGCCTTCCATGTGACGTGTGCACAGCGGGCTGGGCTCTTTATGAAGATTGAACCCATGCGTGAGACCAGCCTCAATGGAACCATCTTCACAGTGCGCAAGACTGCCTACTGTGAGGCCCACTCACCACCAGGGGCTGCCACTGCTAGGAGGAAGGGTGACTCCCCCGGAAGCCTCAGTGAGGCTGGAGATGAGGAAGGGCTGAAAGAGGGATGTGGGGAGGAGGAAGAGAAGGAAGAGGTGGAAGAGGAGGAGGAAGGTGAAGGCCAGGGCGGAGTAGGCAGCCCCCTCAAGGGAGTGCCCAAGAAGAACAAGATGACTTTGAAGCAGAAGATCAAGAAGGAGCCAGAGGAAGTGGGTCGAGACACACCCTCCACTGTCCCCTTGGTCACTGTCGCTCAGATACCCTCTTACAGGTGAGCCTGCCCTGAGGGCTCCCTAGGGACTCATGGTTTCTTCTTGGGCTGGTGTTGGCCCTGAGCCAGGCCTCCTTCCCCAAGCACTGTTGGTGAACATCTGTTCTCTTCTGTGCCCTCAAATTTCTCCTTTGGACCCTGGGCTTGCCTAGCCTGATTTGTGATTTTGATTGTGTCCTTAGAACAATGTATTTCCTTTGGTTCGAGGTGAGACAAACATTTCAAATTGTTTATAAACTCAGGAAGTGATGTCTAAGGCAGTATTTTTCAACAGGGGCACAGATGGCATTTTGGACAAGATAATTCTTCATTATTAGGACTGTCCCATGCATTTCTATATGTTTAGCATCGCTGGTCTTTGTGCCAGTTGCATCCACTCCCTTATTGCCTGGTTTTTGTCACGACCTCAAACATTCCCCACATGTTTCCAAAAACCCCTACAGTGATATAGCTACTTCTGACAACTGTTTCTCAATTAAAGGTTTCTGCTGTCCCGAAAGCTTGGTCTTGGGAATGATGGGGACAGTGTGTGAGGGGGCGGTGGCATTAGGGGCACATGCTAGTCCTCTTGAGAAGCTTTTAGATTTAGGAGAAAGAGGATCACTCAGTTTAGCTGTGTAACTAAGCCACCTTAACCCCTACTGAGTGTGTAGAGAGACCAGTGTACCTTGTAAACCATCAGAGAGGTAGCTGGAGCTGTTGGAGGTATGGGAGGTTGGCAGAAAAGCAAGAGACGGAAGATTTTCCAGTGGGGGCTCATCTCAGAAGTAATGCACATTAATAAGTATATAGGGTTAGAGTAGGAAGGAATCTTGGAGATTATTCATCTAATATTCATCTAATGTAGTCCTTACACCTTCTCCCACACCCCCAGATGAAGAAACTGCGGCCACGGGAGGTAAAGTTGTTCATTCCTTTATTCATTCAATGAGATATTTATTGAGCACTTACTATATGCCAAGTCCTGTTCTAAGGGCTGGAACTAGGTGGAAAAGTGGCAGATTCTGGACCCCAAGCTGGAGTTCATGATGCCTCTAGGTTCTGTACCTGCTGTTTGTCTCTCTTGATGAGAGGGATTGGGAGAAAGAAGTACTGGAGGGTAGTGGAGAATGAGTTCTATGAGGGGAACAGGCAACCAGACTTGTCAGTCTGGGAAGAAAATAAGAGCAGAGAAGGTCAGGAGGGCAAGGCTCTTGTTGCAAACCATGGCTTGAGTTAGAATTTAGTCAACTGGAAGTGTATCTTTTAGTCACAGCTGTTCTACGTAACCCTCTTCTCTGAGGTGAGTGGTTGAATGCTTAGCCCCTACCTGTAGGGTGGTTTTGTGCTGGGCTTGACTTTTGTCCTGTCTGCTCTTGTGTCTCTTGAAAAGGCCAGCATGGCATGCTGGCTTAGAACCAGACAGATCTGCATTTGATCCTGCTTCTTTCATTAACTACCTGTGTGACCTTTGACAAGTTACTTAACTTCTTTAATCCTTAGTATATTTATTTGCAAATGCATCTACTGTCATATGGTTGTTGTGAGAAATAAATAATAAAAATAAAGCACTTAGCATAGTGCCTGGCAAATAGTAAGTGCTCAATAAATGGTGGCTGCTGCTGCTGCTATTTTGTTATTATTCTTTTTCTTACCTGCACAAATGCTATTGGGACCTTCCATGCCAAGAGGTTGTAGAGGGAGGGGGCTGCCTGCATCTGGGCAGGTGTGCTTGGCATGGGCGTTGGTGGGGGAATCTGTCCTTTGGGGAAAGGCTTAGGCCTTGATTTTGTAAGCTTGGCTTTGGGGCAGGAAAGTCTGACCATAGAAAGACATAAGGCCAAGGTGAGCAATATCCAGTCCAAGATGCCTGTCCTTCATAGGTTCTTCCTTCTTGTTTAGCCATGCTTATTGTCCTTTCAGTAGAGTGAGATGAAAACGAAAGCACTGGAAACACCACAGGAGCACTGAGGCCTTGATTACCTGGTGGATAACCAATTATGGAACACAGCATGGTATAGCAGAGAGATCGTGGATTCAAATCCCACCCAGCTCTATCATCTTATTAGCTGCAGTAGTGACTTTGACCATTTATTCAGCCTCTGTTCCTAAACTGCCTTTCCATCTTCTGTAACATGGGAATAATGATACCCACCTTATGGTATGGACATGAGGACAGAGATTGTAGGCTTTTATTAACTCTTTTCTACCTCTTTCTCCCACATATCACTGGCTTAAAACCTGACCTTAAAACTTCTCTTCTGGGGTAGTTTAGCCAGCTAAGTTTTCAGATTCTCCATCCTCTTATACATTTATATTCATTTTTTTTTTTTTAATTTGGTTCAGAATTGGACATTTTTAGGCTGCTGAGGTTTTTAATGAAAAATCTGAAATCAGACAAACCTAAGGAGTTGCATTTGGGCTCAGAAGCCTGCACTGCTCCTACTAGTTTTCCTTCTGTCTTGGCTATGGACTACTCCCTGGTCTGGTGGGAGCCTCAGCCACAGAAAATAGTGACCACATTGCCCATAGTTTACTCAAGTTCCTGTTCTCTTTTGCTGCCTTTATCAGGAGAAGGCTGGGAGTGTTGGGTCACAGGCCTGTTTCTCAGGAGTCCAGACCACAGGAAACAGGGTTTCTGGGAGAGGGTTCTTTTGGAAAATTGGGACTGCAGTGCAGGAGGTAGAAAGTCAAGTGAAATATGCTGAAGCTGCTTAACTTTGCTGTCCTTTTCAAGCATTCCTCTGAGGTGAGGCATTTGGCTACTTTATTCTGTCTTCCTTTATAAGGTTCAGAAGTGAACCTGGGTCTGAATAGGAGGCTATAATCTGGGCTGCCTACTGACCCTGTCTTTCACTTCCCTGTGCCTCTACTCAAGGTTGAACAAGATCTGTAGTGGTCTCTCCTTTCAGAGGAAAAACCAGTTCATGCAGCGGCTTCACAACTACTGGCTGTTGAAACGGCAGGCACGGAATGGTGTCCCCCTCATCAGGCGCCTGCACTCCCACCTGCAGTCCCAAAGAAATGCCGAGCAGGTAGGTGAAATGGTGATTCGAAAGTGGTGGAGTAAAGGAGGTGGAGAGTGGAGGAGAAGGAGTGATGGTTGGGGCATTCCTCCCGAGCCCTTGTCGAGCCTTTGCCTCCATCCTCTCACTTCTTTTCCAGAAACAGCCTGCAGCACTACAGAGCTCTTTAGATCAGATAGCTTCTCCTGGATGGGAAAGGCTTGATTTTGGAGCAAATTCTAGGGGAGAGTGGAAAGCAACCCCAACTTTCTGTATATGTCGGGAAAATCGTTTAGATGTGGCAGAAAGAAAAAAGTGGGTTGAATGAGAGCCAGGCAGCCACATTGTATGAATTAGGAAAAGGCACACTTTCTTCAAGACACTATACTGCTATCTGCCAAAACATGTTTCACAGAAAATATACAATTTACCATCTAAGTTGGAGAGCACTGCCTGCACAGTTGTAGTGTCCTTTTAGCCACTAGCAACTGGAGTTGCTACATGTTTAGTGTTTTCTGAGAAGGTAGAGGCCTCCCAAGAGACTTTTTAAATCATCTTTAGTTCCCTCTCCCTCTTTACTTGCTCCTTTATTTCTGCCTTTAAGTATTCCCACACTGCTACTCCAGAGATGAAGCAAGCCTTCACATGACAATGGTGCCCTCTGTGTTCTGTCTGATTTCACTTTTGTCTTTTGTAACTAAAGTCTTGAAGTGCACGTCTGTATCTGGTCCCTCCTCAAAATGGTCCACATGCTCTCCTGAAGGCTCCCCTCCAACATCAGCAACTGCCTCCCAGTCCAACAAGTCTTTCTTCAGATTCTTACTTTAATGACCATTGAGCTACATTTGACACCATGATCACATTGTCCTAGAGCTTCTCTGTGACACCATTTTCTACCTCCTACACCCCCACAGACTGCACCCTGTGCCCGTCCCACTTCGTATTCCTTAATGATAACATTTCCAGGAGCTCTATTGCTTGCCTGTTAGCCTGGAGTAGTTGTTCACTCTCATTGTTTTAAATAATGTGGCAGTAGCTCTTAAGTTTATCTTCCTTCTTCTCAGTAAATGCACTTCCCCATTGTTGTCATGAAACCTTCTCCCTCCTGGCCTCAGATATTCCCCACCTTAGAGTTATTTTTGCCTCTTCCCTCCATAACAAGCTACAGTTAATTATCCCCTGAGCTCTTTGGAGAAATTTATCAGAATATGGCCTTTTGTCTCCATTCTCCAGTTACCCTGTTCACCCATGTCATCTTAATTTCAACAATAGCTTTCTAGGTTGTCACTAACCCTTAATTCTTATTTTGCACTATAACTGATAATGACTTACATACCATTTTCCATCCTGTCACTTCTTTTCCAGAATATATTCCCTCTCTCTAGGCAGGCCATGTCTAGGCTCTTTTGCCTGGCATTTGAGGCTTCTTGTCAGCTGGATCCTGGGTCTTCCTTGGCTTTTGTGGTTCTTCAGCCTCTCTGCTCTGGCCAGCCCATTTTTCTCACCAAGCAAAGAATCACTAATTCTGTCTCCACACTTCTGTTCTCTGGTCCCTTTGGTTCCAAAAGAGGCCGGCTTTATTGCTTTAGTCATCCATGTCCATCACTACATGTGAAAAACCTAGTAAGATTGCCTCTCCCAGGAAGCCTTTCCTCACCTTACCCAGCTCACTCAGATCCTCTCTATTTTCTATCCTCTCTCAGCATTTTATATTCAGTCTATCTGATCAGTTTTTGTTGTCTTTATGCTACTACCCCCTTGTGTATCCAAGTCTGAGCCTCTTCCTTCCCCCAACCACACTATAACCTCTTCTAGGACGGGAGTCATGTTTTAGGTGGTAGTGGTTGTGTTTTAAAATATGTTCAGGTCAGTCAGTATAAGCTCATAGTAAGAATACTTTGTTTTCTAGACAAGTCGAAGCTCTAGGGTGAAAGTCCTTTCACCTCAAGGTGTCTGTTAGTTTCCTTTGGAAATTCTTTCCAGCCCTGAGGGGCACAGCTGTTCTAGTTTCCCCAAGGTTAAGGTGAAGCAGCAGTGGTTATTGTGCAGCAATGAAGAAACATTGTTATAAGGTCAGGGAAGCACAGGAGGAAGGATGGGGTGGAGAGGGAGTGGAAGGGCTCTCAGGGACTGTGGCTCAAGGAAGGGATTGGGGCTCTTACTTGCCGAGGCCCGATGAAGCTTGAACAGGGAGAGGATTTTACACCTAGCTCCTTCCTTTCCCTTCCCTACTGCAGCGAGAGCAGGACGAAAAAACAAGTGCAGTGAAGGAGGAGCTGAAATACTGGCAGAAGCTCCGGCACGACTTGGAACGGGCGCGATTGCTTATTGAACTGATTCGGAAAAGAGAGAAGCTCAAGAGGGAGCAGGTGAGGAAGAACTCTGAGCCTTAGGGCTCTTGTTCAAGAACTTTTTCTTCTGTCAGTATGTTATAGGGAGACCTGGAGCCTCTGCCTAGTGCCAACTTTTTTCCTTTCCTGCCCAGCACTATGAGCTCCAAGGCCTGCATACTCTGCATTGGGTGTATTGCTACTGTGTTGTAACTGGGGTTCGGCTTCTGGTGGCCTCAAGCATAAGCTTGTTATCATATGCCTGAGCCCATCTCTGGAGTTTCTGACCCAGGGACTCTTAGGGGAAGCCAGGCCTTGAGTATTTTCAAAAGCTTCTCAGAGCATTCTGACAGGCATCACCTCTGGCCTGGGGACTTCTAAGAGTTCTCAGTTGGCCCTTAAACACTTATGTTCCTGAATCATTTAATTTTTTCAACCTCTAGAGGAAATTCTAGGCCTCTGAGCATGGAGACTATTGAGATAGGTAGTGTAGCATAGAGGTTAGGAATATGAACTGTGACACCAGACTGCCTGGGTTTGAATCCTGGCTCTGCCACTTACTACTTGTGTGACATTGAGTAAGTTGCTTAATCTCCTTATACCTCAGTTTCCTCAATTATAAAATGAGGGTAATAATAGAACCTACCTCATAAGGTAGTTTGTGAGGATTAGATGATTTGTATATATAAAGAGCATAGAACAGTGCTCGGCACATAGGGGTTATAGGGTCAGCTGCTATCATCATTATTGCTATTGATATTCTTTGTTTCCCTGAAGTGTCTACTGTAAGTGCTGTACACGTGGCAGAGAGCAAATACTATTAATTGAATGGATGATGAGCCAAAACTGTTCTCTCTGGTTCAGGAACAGCAGCTGTTACACGCATGCTTCAAAGGCCTGGGTTAAAGATGTTCCTTTCCATCTTTCTCCAAACTCCCGCTTCACTGTTCAGCTCCAGCATGATCCCTTCTCTTGTAGGCCTATAGCCTGAGTTTCCACTTATGAGAGTGGACAGCTCTTGCCATATTTAGCATAGATGGCTGTGGAAAACATCTAAGGACTTTCTCTGTGGATTCAAACTGTCTGTGCCATGCCAGGCCTGGTTCCACAGCTGGGCCTTTCTTCCTGCCTCTAGTTCAGAGAAATGAAAGAGAAAAGGAAGCAGGCAGGCCTCTTTTGATGTAGCCAAGAGGCAGGAACTTTTCATAGTCTAATCTATGGCTTCCCAATTTTTTCACATTAGGGCGCACATAGAAAATAACATTTGTACAGCATACTACTTACTGTAAATACATGCAGCTGCTTGCTGCCTGAGGGGGTGAGCCTGGAAGCCCTGGTTGCTCTGGCCAATCCAGACACACCAAGGGCCAACAGGATCAATATCTCAGCACATTAGGTGGGAATTCTAGCCCAAGGAACATTTTATATCATGAGTGTGCTCCTTGGACTGTCAGACCTGTGTTCAAATCTTGTCTCTGTTCTTTTCCAGCGGGGTGACCTTGGGCAAATGACAAATCATTATACTCTTCCCAAACCTCAGATTCCATATTTGTAAAATGAGGATAGTAAGTTTCTCCTTCAGGGTTATTGTGATTAACTGAGGTACTATAGAGAGGCAGTGTGGCATATCTGTGAAGAGCACACACTGGAACCAGACCATCCGGGACTGAGTCCCAGCTCTGCCCCTTATTAGCTGTGTGACCTTGGGCCAGTCAGTTACTTAGTCTCTCTTTGTCTCAGTTTCCTTTTTGTAAAATATCTCTTCTGTACCTACCCCATGTACTTACTTATATTACATAAAATGCTTAGAATATTACTTGGCATTTAGTAAGGACTATAAACGTGTTAACTGTTATAACAGTTGACCCTTGAACAATGCGTGAATTTGGGGTGCCTACCCCCTGTGCAGTTTAAAATCTGCATGTAACTTTTGACTCCCCCAAAACTTAACTACTGATAGCTTATTGTTTGACCAGAAGCCTTACTGACAACATAAATACATTTTCTGTTATATGTATTATATACTGTATTCTTACAATAAAGTAAGCTAGAGAAAAAATGTTATTAAGAAAATCATAAGGAAGAGAAAATATATTTATAGTATTTCTTGGGAAAATTTGCATATAAGCAGACCCGCTCAATTCAAACCCATGTTGTTCAAGGGTCAGCTGTATAATTGACCCTTGAACAATGTAGGTTTGAATTGAGCGGGTCTGCTTAATTCAAAAGTAATAGTTATTATTACTTTAAGTTTTGGTATGATGCTTGATACATAGGAGACATCCACATAATGGCAGTTGCTATTATTTCTAGGCTGTGGGTTGGGTGATAGCTCCTCATAAACTGGTCAGCTTAACATCCTATGAAAATATGTTTTGCATGATTGATAAAAGTCAAGTTTATCAAGAAAAAATTCAGTGCCTCTTGGCAGGAATTGGGGGGTGTCCTGATCTCTCCCCACCTAACCCACAGATCAAGGTCCAGCAGGCTGCCATGGAGCTGGAGCTGATGCCATTCAACGTTCTGCTGAGGACAACACTGGACTTGCTGCAGGAGAAGGATCCTGCACACATCTTCGCTGAACCCGTCAACCTGAGTGAGGCAAGTCTCCCCCCCAGCCATTTCCTAAATAGTGAGCCCCTCTTGAACTGCAAACAGGGTCTGAGTAGGCCCAGAGGGGATTGGGCCTCAGGATGTACAAAACCTGGGGGTGTCTGACAAGGCTAGTAGACTTACCCATGGTGAGGGGTCAGCAGGTTAGGGTGGGCCAGGGCCCTGGGGCTCTGAGTGAGCCTGGCATGGCCAAACCAGAAAACAGGGAGGCAACAGTGTCGGTGACGGGTATGCCTGTTTGGCTAGTAAATGGTTGTTGTAATTGTACAGGTTTTATATGTTTAGGTTCCAGATTACCTGGAATTCATATCCAAGCCAATGGATTTTTCTACTATGAGGCGGAAGCTGGAGTCCCATCTGTACCGCACCTTGGAGGAGTTTGAGGAGGACTTTAACCTTATAGTTACCAACTGCATGAAGTATAATGCTAAAGACACAATTTTCCACCGAGCAGCTGTCCGCCTACGGGACCTGGGAGGGGCCATCCTGCGGCATGCCCGGCGGCAGGCAGAGAACATCGGCTATGACCCCGAGAGGGGCACCCACCTGCCTGAGTCACCCAAATTGGAGGACTTTTACCGCTTTTCCTGGGAAGACGGTGAGAAGCCTGGATGGGTGGGGAGGAGAGGGGCCAGGCTGAGGCACAGGGACAGAGCTCAGAGAGCCAGGGATCAGGATGGGCCTTGGGGCTATAGAAGCAAAGCTGAGGGTAGGCACAGGCTGGAATATACCTGCTTGTGGCCAGAATAGTTTCAAGGATTAAAATTTAATTCACTGAGTACTTCTTGAATGGTAGGAAAGGGAAATCAGGTAGTAGCTGTCTATTTGAAAAGCTAAAGCTTCACCGGGTCTTTCTCCCCTGGACCCCCTCTGTGTGGCATTGGAGCATGGGGCAGGCGGAGTGCAATCCTGGTGTACGTCTGGCTCATTCAGAAGAGTGCAGATAGAGGACCAAAAATGGAATTGCCTCTGAGCCCCATGCTCTGCCTACCCCTGCTCTCTGCTTCTCGATGCCAACAACCAAACAGTCACTCGGGCCGGGGGATTGCCTCGTGCCTGTTCCATGGAGCCCGTAATCACGACTGTGAACTACTTCCTGCAGATGTTTCCCAGATTCTGACCTTGTCCCTGTGTCTGCCCTCTGGGCAGCAGTAGAAGCCACTGGCCCAGGCATTCCAGGAGAATATTTTGCATCCAAAGGATTCAGCCCTTCCCCTTGCCCTGAGCTGGGCAGGTCCTTCAGCCCCTTCTGTCCTCCCTTCTTCCTGGCAGTGGACAACATCCTCATCCCAGAGAACCGGGCCCATTTGTCCCCAGAGGTGCAGCTGAAGGAGCTGCTGGAGAAACTGGACCTAGTGAGTGCCATGCGGTCCAGTGGGGCCCGGACCCGCCGCGTCCGCTTGCTGCGCCGGGAGATCAATGCTCTTCGGCAGAAGCTGGCGCAGCCGCCACCACCACAGCCCCCTTCACTGAACAAGACTGTGTCCAACGGGGAGCTGCCAGCTGGGCCCCAGGAGGATGCTGCTGTGCTGGAGCAGGCTCCGCAGGAGGAGCCAGAAGACGATGAGGACAGAGGTGAGAGATAGTCATGAGGAGGCAGGGTAGGGAGTAAGGGTTAAACCGAAATCCCATAGTCGAATCATCCTTTCCTGAGTGTAGGTCTGATCTTTATGGGCAAGCAGAAGCCTTCAGAGGGGTTCACAGTTGTATGTGTACCCAGGAATGACATTCAAAACATTTAGCAATCGGTAGAGACCAAAATTGATTACTCAGAGTAGATATTGACCATTGTATTGGAGTTGGCTCCTGAGGTTCACTGATGTAGATATTTAGTTGCCAAATTGTGGGCATATTCATGGAGTTTCACATGCTGGGGCCCAGCAGCTGTTCACTAACCAGTAAAGAAGCATTTCAGTGTTTTGCACCTGACATAGTCTTATTACACATAGCAGTTAAACATCAGCTCATTTCATACCATCATGTAGAGAAGCTCTTAGAGCAGCTTAAATTGTGGTGTGGAGACACAGAAAAGAAGGATCCTAAACATGGTCTGGGCTCTCAAGCTACCTCATGGCTTTGACCCCAGCTGGTTGAGTCTGTAGGTCCATCCTAAGCAAAAAGGCCAGACTGCAAAAGACGGCTGGAGAAGTGATTCTCAGAGCTGCTTCCCATTCACCCTGCTTCACTGGGGACAGAATTGTCTCTTTGCTACCTGTCTTTGGATCTGAGCCTATGGCTTCGAAGGGCCTGCCATCCACATAGTTCAAAAGGTTGGGAGTTATCTCTAGAGGTTAGAGATGATTGCAAGGAATGGCCCATTTTAGGTTGGAAGAGAATAGGGGCATTGCTGAGAGGTCACATTTGGCATTAGAGGGCTTCATGTCCATTGCGATTCTTCTCAAGTCCTCATGTGGCAGATAGCATGCCACTGGTATCCCCACTCTTGGGCTTTGGCAGCACAGAGTCATGTACAGTGGTCCAGCTGCAACAGTTTCTCCTAGAGGGTTTCCAAACAAAATTCCCAGGGCTCACCTCCCAGAGATTCAGATTAGGGAAGTCTGGGATATATCTTAGAAATCTCAATTTTGAAAAATATCAAAATGGTAAGTGAATAGAGATGTTTGGAAATCACAGATTTAACTTACTTTGTCTCAGTTTTCCATATTTATAAACCTTTTCTTTCTGCTTGTCCTACTTGCTTCACTTGGGTGATAATGAAACAAAATACATTGAAAGGTGGGAAAACACTTGAGTCTAAAGAGAGTATAAAGAGACCCCTAATCTGCGAAGCTGAGACTTACTTAATTGATTGAACGGGGCTTTCAACTTTCTCGAGTGTAGAGCAATGGTTTGTAACCCTCACTTCATCACACCCACCTGGTAAGCATAAAGAAACAATATCCCATCTTTATAGGTTTGGTCTGGGATGGGACCTCGGCAGTGAAATTTTTAACCCATTTCTCATTTAGAAAAAAAGTACAACTTGCTGCCAACGTTCATTTAATTTTATATAAACACATTCTTCGAGGCTGAAACAAACAAATCTGACTGGTTTTCAATGTGAAAATAAAATATAAAAACTGTTCTTGGAGTTATTTCTAAACAACTTGTCTCTAATCCTAATGTAACAGAAATGTATACATAAATCGATTCATCATATGAATCTTCGGCTAACAACTGTTCAAGCACGATGTTAACGTGTAGGAATGCTACATTTTCTAGGATTTGACATTTTCAGCGACTGAGAATTACTATATCTTGTAAATGGAAATACCACTACTAAAACAATGCTATAAATAGAGTGATGTCATTTGTTTCCAAAGACTGTGGATATACTAGAGCGATACGAAAATAAAAGCAAGATATTTTGTGGCAAACTTTGGGAGTAAGGTTAGGACTATAATCCATGAGTTATCTCAGGGTAAATGCTGCAGCCGTGAGCAGTGCCGGTGAACGTTCTCGGGGCAAATGGGAAATGGGTTAAGAAACTTGCTAGGCGATCCTAATTCATAGCCAAGGTTGAGAACTACTAGTCGATCAAACTTAGTCCTACATTCTCTTCATTTCAGACCTGAGACCTGGGATGCTTCTCAAGCCTTATAATGCTCATGCTTTTGGTTCTTGGTAATCTGTGTCATTATCTGGCTTGTAGGGGCAGACTTTTTCTAAAATGTTCAAGCAGGTTCTATTTTTCTCTAACAGATGACTCCAAACTGCCTCCCCCACCAACCCTGGAGCCCACTGGGCCTGCACCTTCCTTGTCTGAGCAAGAATCCCCTCCGGACCCCCCCACTCTGAAACCCATCAATGATAGCAAACCTCCAAGCCGATTCCTAAAGCCCAGAAAGGTAGAAGAAGATGAGCTCTTGGAAAAATCACCTCTGCAGCTAGGGAACGAGCCCTTGCAACACCTGCTCAGTGACAATGGCATCAATAGACTATCCCTCATGGCCCCCGATACCCCTGCCAGTGCCTCCCTCAGTGGTGTGGGCCGCCGCACCTCAGTCCTCTTCAAGAAGGCCAAGAATGGGGTTAAGCTGCAGAGGAGCCCAGATCGGGCGCTGGAGAATGGCGAGGACCATGGTGCAGTGGGCTCTCCCGCCTCTCCTGCCAGCATCGAGGATGAGCGGCACTCCCGGAAGCGGCCGAGGAGCAGGAGCGGTAGTGAGAGTGATGGGGAGAGATCCCCCCAGCAGGAGGAAGAAACAGGTGACCCCGCCTGTGACTTCTCTCGCTACTTCTCATCTGCTTTCCTGCTTTGCCTTGCCAGCCAGCACCCCTCCCCGCTGCCGCCCATCAGTTGCCTCCCTAATGGCCTCTGCAGATGCCAATAGTAGCATTGAAGGCTCCATAGCTCACAGTTGGGCCTGAGTAGTAGCCGGGGAAATAGGCTTCGAGCAAGTATTTTGAGAGGGCTAATTTGTGTCTGGGGATCTCTTGGGCCTTGAGGGAGATACAAAGCTGCATATGGTAAAATGGGTCCTATTTTCATTTTAGCTCATTCATCAGATAGTTTTGTCAGGCATTATTCTAGGTACTGGGGGTGGGGAGGAATCTCCTTTCTAGGGGAGATACATTAAAAGCAAATGAGTGAATTATATTTTGTATTAAAAGTTGAGAAAAATCCAGCAGGGAAGGGGTATAGGGGACCTCGGGGTGGTGTTAGGGTGGCCAGGGGAGGCCTTCTGAGGAGGTAACATTTGAGTAAAGATCTGAAGGAGGTGAAGGTGTGAGCTGTTTGGATAACTAGGGGAAGAATGTTCCAAAAAGACTAGTAAATGCATAGGCCCTGGAAGTGGGAACATGCCTGCATGTCTGAGGAACAGCGAGGGAACCAATGTGGCTGCAGCAGAGCGAGCCAGCGGGTAGTAGGAGATGAAGTCCCAGAAGTAGGAAATGGGGGCTTGGTCACTAAAGAATCCTTACTGCGTTTCCAGCACCAGCTGGTCACTGGGGGGTAATAGCTCAGACTCAGTTTCAGCTCTGGAAGAGTTAACTGTAGTGGAGGAGACTCGATGGTCTCCTGAAGAGCAGAGATGTCACAGTGCTGGACAGTATGTGATTATATGTCAGGTGACAGCACCAGTGGAGATGTTGGGAAGTCTTCATGAAGAGGCGCTACCTAAGCTGGTCCTGAGGGATAAGGGTGGGATACAAAGATGGGATAAAGGGTTTAGACCCAGGTGCATGGAAACAAGGACAGAGTCCCTATGAAGGATAGATTGGAGAGGGGCTTCCCGGAGCATCAGGAGCCAAGGCTGGATGAGCGAGGTGGGCCTGGATGTGCAGGCCCTCCATTGCCAGAGGAGTTGAGTTTTGGTGGCATATGAAGGCCAGCTTGCTTGATGGGGAGAGACCTGCTCTTGATTGTTGCTCCTCATGTCCCTCTCATGTCCTTTTATGTAGTGGCTTGGGGCTGTGTGGCCAGCACATGCTTTCTCTCTTCCTTCCTGACACTTTATTTCCAGCAATATCTTCCTTTCCCGTCTGGCCCAGACTTCCCTGCATTAGGGCAATAGGTTGGTATATTGAGGCAAGATCTTGAGGCCTGGAGTTAGGCAACCCTGAATTCAAATTGCATCTTTTTATCAGCCATGTATCAAATTAATTAACTAGAGCAAGTTAGAAAGGCTTGCTGAGCCTGTTTTCTTATTTCTAATATAGAGTTAATGCTACTTACTTTGCAGGGCTCTGAGGATTGGAAATAGTCTGTATAAGGCACTTGGCATATAGCAGTAGAAGGTAGCAGTTATGGTTGTTGCCATCCTCTCAGCTATATCAGGGACAGCCAGACAGCACCGAGAACACTGCACTAAATAGTCCTGCCATTGAGTGATAGGTCTGGACATCAGCCTCATCCAGCCCGAGCAGGCCCACTGCTTGGGCATACTGCTAGAATCTATTCCTCCTGCACAGTCCAGCTCCCTGACGCTCAGGAATACTTCTGAAAAATCTTCATTGACTCTCACAAAAACAGGTGTTGATCTTTTACAGATGAGGCACCTAAGGCACAGCTGGCTTTGGAGATTTAAATTGAGGTCACTATGTTAGAGGCAGAGCTAGCTCAGAGTCCAGATATCTTGGCTTAGACACCTACTCTTATGGGTGTGACTTTCCTCACAGTTTTCTGGCCAAGGTGTCTATAACTTAGAGGTCTTGACTCAGCTGTCAGACTTGTAGGACTCTGGATTGTGGTTAAGAATTAGGTAGTTAGAGAGGAGAGCTGAAGGCTTCATGGGAGATGAGACTTGTCCCTGGGATGAGCAGGTAGTCCTTATTTGTCTCTGAAGGGCTTCCTGCTATAAATAAACCTCTCATTCATACTTAATAGCATCCTCTATAAGTAAAAAGGTATTATCTTCACAAAAGGATGGGTCAAGGCTTAAGGAAGAAAAAGGACTTGTATTTCAGCACTCTAGAACCCAGAGAATTCTGACTTCCCTTCCCGGGAGGATTTGGTCTGCTTTAGTTCTGCTGAAAAGAACCTGCATCCTCAACTCTGACAAACCCTGCTAATATCTCCGGGTGTGGTCGACACAGCCTTTATCCTGCCCCAACCTCCCCTGACACCATCTCAAAAGAATGAAGCTAGCGTTGCCAGCTGTGTGATGGATAGGGTGTGTGAGTGTTTATCTGAAGAGGCCAGGCGGGTGGGCTCCCCAAGAGGCAGAGGAGACTCCCTGATAATCGAGGCTTGAAATGAGAAGCAGATATAGGGACTTATGAGCCAGCTGGAGTTGGGAAGTCTTGATGTTTCCCTTTGTAGCTAAATGACAATAGCCCAAGTAAGCTACGTGTTATATTTTCCTTAAAGTATAACTTGAATATGGGAAGAGAAATGCAGTGTCTGCTCATTGCCCTAGCTGACATTTTCCTCAAACTTTTCTCAGATTCTACTGCCCAAGACCCATTTTCCACAGGGGAAGGCACAGCCATTCTTTCCACCTCTCCTCACTGAGCCCTCCCTGGGTGGCTCACACACTGCAGCACGTGTCAAAGGAAAGGGTTTTCTGCACTCAGGCTCATTCACTCTGTGTGTCCTTGGCAGGCGTGACCAACGGCTTTGGAAAACACACTGAAAGCGGGTCTGACTCGGAATGTAGTTTGGGTCTCAGTGGTGGACTGGCATTTGAAGCTTGCAGGTAAGAACACTTGACCCCAAAGCTTTGTTGGCAGCTTCACCACCTCCTTGTATTCTCTGATTGAACCTCTTTCTTATCTCAGATTTTTTTTTCCTCCACCACTGCTATTTCCTGAGGCCTCTGGTCTGTAACTCTGGTAGCTCCTAGGAAACAGCATGACCCTTGACTCCAGGCCTGATATGACTCGAAGGGGAGGAGTGGCACTGATGCTTTACAGGGTTTGTGGAGCTGAGTTTGGCCTTAGAGGGTGGGGACAGCCAAATCTCTGTTGCCCAGTGAGGTTAACAATTGAGCTAGTCCCCTACTCACCCCCGACCCACTCAGAAAACTCAGCTTTTTACAGACATGTTTTCATCCTTTGTCTTTTGGGGCATCATAGTAATAGCCTCTTTAGAGGTGTGGTATGGGAATAAGAAATGAGCTGATAGGAAATCGAGAATTGCCTTTTGTTAGACAAAGTCCCCAGTTTTTCCACCATCTTTGAGCTGAGAAGGGACAGGTTTCTTTTCCCATTCTTTTACCTGAAGGAAGGATTTCTGAGACAGAATCTTAAAGTTTCTTCCAAGTCCAAGAATTTATTGAATCCCTGCTCTGTATTGTGTGCTCTGTAAGACACTAAGGAATGTGGGACTCTTGGAAATGAGACTGTCAGTGCCACAAAGGAAAAACAACTTGTCTTCAAGGCTGACCTCATGGTCCCTCCACATACCTGCCAAATGGATCCTGGATTCTGAGTAGGGGAGAAAAGGTCCCAGGGTAGTACCAAAAGATGATGTGTCTGTGTTTGAAGCACCTCCAAGCCATATTGGGTGTGTGTTCTGTTAGGTGCTCACTCCGTCCTGGCTGCTGGGCTCCTGGTGGGCCATGGGAGGCGCCCAACTATCCGTTGGGCCTACACTGGTCCCACATTGCAGCAAGGCCCAGCTTTTGATGGTTACTTTGAGTTTTTTCTCCCCAACCAGTCTCAAAATTGCCCTAGCTTACTCCCTCCATGTTGCAGACTCAAGAGATATAGGGAGAGTAGATGGGAAAGAACACAGTTACCAGGCATAGAGAGGAAGCAGAGATTTCAGAATCTTGTTAAAATGCTTCTTGTCTGGTCCTGGGTTGGAGTTCCTGACTCCCTTCAGTGAAATGGTGCCTGGAAACCCAGTTCATTAGGAGTGGATAGGATTGGGGTTACCAGGCTGTCCCCTCCGAGACCTTGACTAAAGGTCGAAGGTGTGTTGGGCTCTTTCTTCTGTGAAGGGTGCTCTTCCCCGCTGGGAGCTACAAGAAGCAAGCCAGGTCAGGCTTTAGTTAGCCTGCTGTTTCAGGCTGTTTGTTTGCCTTTGTGCAAGACTCCAGTCCAGAGCCACTGATTGCCCTTGGAAAAAAAATGCCTTTGGAAGGCATTTCTTCTTTAGCTCAGTGGCTCTCAGTGGCATTTCAAGGTTTAAAACAGGAGATTCAGGGGCTCTAATCGTAGGGATTTTTTTCTTTTTCTGTTTTTTTTTCCTACACTGGTGATAAGTACATAAAGGAAGATCTTACTAATTCAACTAAAATCATATAATCTCAGAATTAGAACTTTGAAAAAACTTCTGATCACTAATCCCACCCCTCTCCCCCACCTTGGTTTATCTGTTCTGCTGATTTTCTGAGCAGGTTAGGGTTTTACTGTTTTTCTGCGGGTCACTCATTTAGTTATTAATTGAGCACCTACCATGAGCCAGGCACTGTTCTAAGCACTGATAGGGTGTCTGTTCTCATGGAGCTTACTTTCTGTAGGGGAGAGAAGAATATTAAATCAGTAAATCAAATAATTATAGATTGGGTTACCTGCTTAGGCCTCGGTAACTTGGAGAGATGGCTGAAATGCAGGCCATGATCAAGTAACTTGTGCTTTTTTTCTATGAAACAGGAACACACAGACCTAGTTTTGGTGTTGCATCCTATTTTTATTGAGCTCATCTTTCGCAGACTTCATCATTTGGTAGTTTAACATTAGTAGTTTGTAGTATTTAAAGTGAGACGTTGAAACTAATTGCTCTTCATATATTATTTACTATAGAACTGCCACTTATTGAGTGCTTGGTATGTGTATTAATCTATTAAATCCTCACAGCAACACATGGGAGACACAAGCCTCAGAGGTTAAATAACTTGCTCAAGGTCACGGAACTACTGAATAGAAGAGCCAAGTTCTGAACCCCGGTAGTCTGGCTCCGCAGTTTAATCTCTTAACCCTCTTCTGTTGTATTTGAAGGTGTCTTCCCAGATCTGTGATATGATCTTAGAGAGGCTTTCCTAATAAAACTACTAATACCTTACATTTTTATAAGGCCTTAGGGTCTCTATGCCCAGTGACAGATTTTTGAAGGATAAGTGAGAACTGAGTCCTAAATGTGAACTGGGTGTTGTGTTTACCCAAATGGGTCCTAATTTTGACTAGCAGGAAGAAAGCTCTCAACATACTAGTTACTGATTCATTGAGTTTTGGTTGTGCAGGTGCTCTGTGTAAGACCATGATAAAGTCAGTTATGATCAATAAAACAGGAGAGCCCTACTCTCCAACCAGTCCTAACCCTGGCTTCCTCTTATCCCACCAGAGGTTTCTTAAACATTTCTACTCCTCTGCAGATTGTTGACCTGTATTTAAGCATTTCTTTTGTAGTTGAAAAAATGATATAGCGCTAATGTTTTTTGAAGTTTAGATGTAAAGAAAGCCCTGGCCACACCGTTCTTGCCTAGAGGCTCCCAACTGTGGTTGTGTTAGAATTGTATTGGGAGCTATTTAAAAGATGCTGACGCCTGAGTGGGTTCCAGTTATATCACTACTCTCGTATTACTATTCTCATTTTTGCTTATTACCTTCTAGTCTTTATCTAACATATTCTTTTACCTCCTTGCAGTAGCCCTGTAAAAAGATCCGTTTCTAAGAAAAACTTCACACAAAGTAGAAATGAGAAGTGGATTTTTTTTTTAATTTAAAAATGTCTTTTCTAATTAAAGAATTAAGACATGTTCTTTATAGAAAATTTGAGAAAGAGGCAAATTTTTGTACCTCTAAAAAAATAAATTGCTTTCGAAAGAACAAGCAATGTGAACCATAGAGCAAAGAATTCTGGCCCCTCTTCATGGCCCTGCTGTTTAACTCTGAAAGGATTGACATGCCTGGGGTGACCTTTCCTCTGGATGAAGTTCAAGGTCCCCAAGCAGGGGAACAGACATCTCTTTCCAGGTTGAGTCTTTCCACCTGGATGAAATGTTTCCTCAAAGCCTGTGAGAACTTTCTGGTCTGAAGTATGTTATGGTTTAGTGTGAGTTTTTAGGGGAAAGTGAGAAACCATTCTCTTTGAAGGGTTTTTGTAGCCATGGAAGAACAATAGTAGGGGTGTTAGTCATTGCAATTTCTCATTTCTCCCTCTCTCCCTCCCTGTTTTGTATGCAGTGGTCTCATGCCCCCCAAACGCAGCCGTGGGAAGCCAGCCCTGTCTCGAGTGCCCTTCCTGGAAGGTGTGAATGGAGACTCTGACTATAGTGGCTCAGGTGAGGAGCAGTGTATAGGTGGATGGGGGTGGGGAGGTGGGCCTTCCAAAGAACCAGCTCTGTGGGCTACAGCCAGACCCTAACCTCTTCCAAATCCTCGGGCACTGGGCAAGGAGATAGTCCTCCTTCCCAGGTCATTCACACTTTTTTTTTTTTTAATTCATCTTAAATTTGAATTGGTAATACATGCCCATGGTAACAAAAATCAGAAAGCTACAAAAGCATGCATAATGAAAAGTCAGCACTCTCTTCCCTAGAACAACCACTGTTAGCAGTTTTGGTGGCTTTCCAGTTGTAATACATACATATACAAGCTAAAACTTGTGTGTATATATAAGAGAGTAACTAGAGAAACCTAGTATACACATGTTTCTCTAAACCATGCCTTTTTGTTCTGTTAATAATATATCGAGAGCCTTCTGTGCTTTTTGTCGTCTGCCTAATTGGTGTCCCATTATACCGAGGTGCCATTTACTTTGCCAGCCCTCTACAGATGGACATTTAGATTGTTTTTACGTATTTGTTACAGTCAGTGTTGCAGTGAGCAACCTTGTACATAGATCATTTTGTATCCGTGGGGAGTATATCTATAGAATTGGAGTCACCTTATTGAAGGAAGGAAGTGTGCATTTGTAATCCCTGTAGATATTGCCAGTCTACCCTCATTGGAGTCGTCATTGATAGCCTATATCACTGAATCTCACACATAACCCTGTAATTTCATGTGATCCAGTGCCTTCAGCCTTCCCCTCATGAGACATTCTTCTCCAGCTGGTCCAAACATGGAATATATGGGTCTTGTTTCCTTAGATCAAGGGAATAAAGGGCAGAGCAGGGCCAAAGGAGGGGGCCGGGTGGTGGTCAGGTGGAGCAGGCATAGAACAGGCTGTTTTCTGAATATACTGTCCAGCCTTCCCTTGGCAGGTGTGCACTCTCTGGATGCCCTGTCTTTGAAGCTTTCATCTAACACACAGGCTTCAGGGTTTCTCTTCCGCTCTTTCCTTTCCCAACTGCTTTATCTTCCCTTAGTATCAGTTTTTTTCTTGTATGTGTATTGAAAAATGCATGCCTGTGTGTTTCACTGCGGTCTGACTGTCAGCGCCCAGGAGGCAAGGCTCGTGTCTAGATGCATTTGTATAACATCTAACATAAAACTGGGAGGGTACTGGCACATACCTTGTGCTTCTAGTGGTGACATTTTATTCTTATTTTAAACACCACATACTTATTGAAATGATGCCAAAGGAAATTGACCTCCCACTGTTCCATCCCCTTAACATAATTGTCCTCATTTCTCTGTTGCTTTGTTTATTTTAGGTACTTTTTTTTTTAACAAAATGATAATCTAAAACACGTGCTCTTCTGTATTATTTCTTCAGTGTTATCATACTTTTTTCATATTGACATAGTCTTTATATATCTTATATTATTAGAACAATGTACCTTTCACTCAGTGACTTAAAATTTACTTAACCATTCTATTGTTAGACATTTGGTTATTTTCAACTTTAACATAATACATAATACGTATACGTTATACATAATGTTCAAAAAATATGTCCTTTTATTTGTTTTTAAAGTTATTTCTTAGACTAAGTTCCCAGGAAAGGAATTTACTGGAGCAGATGGTTCATACATTTTTTTTTTGTTTTATGGCTCTTGAGACATACCACCAAATTACATTCTGAAAGTTGCCTGAGCAGTATGCGATTGCACCAGTTTCCCTGCAGCCTGCCTTTTCAGTATTGGATTTTATCTATTTGTTGTTATTGCTATTGACTCAATAGGTAGAAAATAATGCCTCATGATTAGCAGTAGGTTTTTTAAAAATTGTAAATGATGGTGGTACTATTTCCTTAGAACATAGTTTTCACTCTGAGATTTGGGGCTTTTTCCTTGGTTGATTGAGTGGTCATCTCCCTGTTCCCAGTTTACACATGTGGGAGAGGATAGGTGGTTCTTCTTTTCAGAAGCATTTGTGGAACACCTATGCAGGTGTGCTAGTACACTGGGTACAGAACAAAGGATGCTAAAGAGACCTAGTGCCCGCTCTAGGCTGGACACCAGTATAAGGTTTTGACAAAAGCAGGTATGTGAAGGACCTGCAGACCTGCTTGGTTTTGCTGAGTGCTGTGCATCCACGTGACCTGGATGGCCAGGTGTGACCCTGTCAGAAAAGAACTCACTTAACAATAGGTTTTACTAGGATGTCTGTCCCAGGCATCTTTTTCTATGAAGCGTCTGTCATGAGGACTCCCCACTTGGGGAGGCCCAGAGAGCAGTCCGTGGCTCTGCTCAAGCTGGGTTATGGTCCTTTTCCCTGGGGCCCTGGTGATGAAGCAGTTAGATTTTTCCAAGGAACACTATCCTAGGATTCTAGTCCAGAAGTCAGCAAACTATAGCCTATTGCCTGTTTTTGTAGGGCTCACGAGCTAAGAATGGTTTTTACATTTTCAGATGATTGAAAAAAAATCAAAAGAATGTTTTGTAACATATGGAAATTATAAGAAATTCAAATTTTAGTGTCCAAAAGCAAAGTTTTATTGGGACACAGCTATACTCATTAATTTACAGATTATCTATGGCTACTTTTCTGCTGCAAAGCAGAGTTGAATAATTGCAACAGAGACTTAACTGAAACTTAAAATGTTTACTCTTTGGCCCTTTACAGGAAAAGTTTGCCAACCTCTAATCTAGTTTAAGGACTGCTAAGGAAGGGGCAGAGAAGAGGAAGGGTGGAGGGGATGTTGCCTACTCATTTTGGGGTTGCCCCAGTCAAATGGAGGCTACAGGCAGGCCTCCTGGGCACCATTCCAAGTCCCCTTCGGGCACTGTCTCCTCCCCTCCCCTACCCCCAGGCAGAAGCCTCCTGATGCCCTTTGAAGACCGTGGAGACCTGGAGCCCCTGGAGCTGGTGTGGGCCAAGTGCCGAGGCTATCCCTCCTACCCTGCCTTGGTGAGTCTGCCCCAGATGCCACCCTCCTCCCTCCCCTGAGCGGTTCTGGCCCCTGCCTTGCCTTGGGGGCTTATCTGATTGGATCAAGCCAGCAGAGTGTGGTGGGAGTCAGAGTGCCTTTAGCTGCAGAAGGGAGGGAGGTTGTGCCCCAGCCTCAGGTGGGTCAGACCAGCAAGGATCCCAGCTTGGGGAGACAGAGACTAGGGCTCTTAGGGATTTATTTATTTGCTAATACATAAGAGTAATATGTGCTTATTGTAGAGAATTTTAAAAGCTGCTAATCATACTTAGATGTTTTATTAAACATCTGTCATGCTAAGGTTTTTTAATACTGAGGAGAGTATGGTTATTTTCATTTCGTAGGGAAAAAAACCTGAGGATCTATTTTTTACCCATGGTCATCTAGCTATTAAGTGGCAAGGTTGCAGTTTGAGCCCAGGGCTTAAAATGTGTGATGCCTGTGTTCTGAGCCACAGAGTTCAAAATCATCCACAGTCCTGTCTATTCAGACGGAAATGACCTCTTCGTGTATATATACACAACCTTTTTTTATTTTGTTTGATTAATGCATAAATATGCATATATAAGAGACTATACTCCATTTAGCCTTCCTTTCACTTAACAACATATAAACATGCATGCTTATGTCATTAAACATTCTTCATCAACATCACTTTATTGACTGCATTATCTTTAGTTATATGCATGTATTTACCTTATTTTAACTATTCCCTAGCTGGTCATTTAAATTGTTTAGAAATTTTCATATGATAAACAGCTAACAATAAACATCACTGTAGCTTTGCCTTTGTGCGCATCCATGATTATGTCTTTACAGGGAATTCTTAGGAGTGCCTTCTTAGGGCAAAGTCTTTGCAAAATTCTGATACATATTGTCAAGTTGCCCTTTTGAAAGTTAGTTCTGGTTTATACTCCCACCAGCAGTAGTTAAAATTTACATTTTTTCCATAGTAGAAGTAAGCTAAAAATTCCATTCTTACCACCTTGAATGTTATTTCTTAGAACTCTTTCTGTATTGGGAAGGTAATGTCCATCTGGCTCTGAAAGATACCGATTCTAATCTTTGGGGCATGTCAGAATCATTTGGGGGAATTTTTTTAAACAGTGCAGATACTGAGGCTCAGAACTACCAAAATAGACTGTCTGAGGCCAGACCAACCCATGAATATTTTTTAAAAAGCTTCCCAGATGATCTTTAGTCATGTTTGAGAACCACCCCACCAACTTCATTTGTGCACACAGAGCTCTGGGCTTCTCCCAGCTTATTCATGTCTGGGGCTCTTTCCTGTCTAACAGCTTCTTATGGTAAAGAGGGCAAGAACTCTGATCCTTTTTGGACAGGTGAGGAAACTGTAGCTCCAAAAGGTTATACAACTTGCTGGAGCCATATCGGAGCCAATGTTGCCTGCCTCACTTCTTCCTTAGCAGTGGCAAGTGCAGGAATCCACACTGACAGCTGCAGAGGATGTTTTGGCCTGGGGCTGTCCATACAAGGTTCTGAGCCCTGAGCCCTGCTGTCCCTGAGACTCCCAGCTTAGTAGTTGAAAAAGTGATTAAGGCTGGGCAGGTTTTGGTTTTGGTTTTTTTAAATCTTACACAAATGCAAAATTCATCTAAAACTAGTCTCCTCTTTTTTTTTTTTTTTTTAAATTATTTTCTTATACATTTTCTTTCGTGATTAAAGAAATTCAACTCCCACCTGAAAACCTAATCACCTGAACACAACCTGTGTTTTTATTTTGGTTTATGCTCTCCCATTTGTTTTCCTGTGCTTACTTAAATATGTACAGTTGAACCTTGAATAACACAGGTTTGCACTGCACGGGCCCACTTGTTTGCAGATTTTTTTCAATAAATACATACTTGGCTCTCCATATCCTCGGGTTTCACATCTGCGGATACGGAGGACCAACTGTATGCATTCTTCTGCGTCATTTTTTATAAGCACCTTGAGCATCCACAGATTTTGGTAAACCACAGGGGTCTTGGAACTAATCACTTGGGGATACTAAGGGATGACTGTAGTTAAGTTTTGAGGGGGTCAAAAGTTAGTTATACACAGATTTTCAACTGCACATAGAGTCGGTCCTCCTAATCACCATGTGTAAGAGTCAACTATGCTTGCATCCGTAGTGAATATATGGTTTTTAAATTTGTGGGGGGAGTTTCTTGTTTTTTTAAGAAAATCGCTTTTGTTTTTTCTATAAAAGTAACATATCTACATTATAATAGTTTTGGAAAAGTAGAGAAAAGCAGCACAAATGTCTACCATTCTAATATGTCGACTGTAAGCATTTTGTATCATTCCTTCTCTTTACTCTTTATAATGTTATAGCTGTAACAGTGTATGTACACATTTATTATATGTTGAAAGTTTATCATGTGATTTATTTTTATGTTGTTTTACATCTGTATAACATTTGCATGAATGTACCATTATTTATTATTTGGGACACATCATTATCTTCTTTAAGAAGGGAGAAGAGCTCTCTTTAAGTGGCAGACTTACCCACCTTGGGGGAAATTTTTCACTGTCTTCCCCATTTTCCAAGGCATGAACCAGTGTGACTTAGTCAAGAGGAAAGATGTCTTGTTCGGTAATCGAGGAAGCTCAGGAGGGCTTATATGGTGGTTTCACTAGTACCTTTGGCGTCAGTCCTAGGAGAGACAGGCCAGGAGATAGAGTTTTAACCACATCTCACAGCAGGGCAGGCGTGGTTCTTCCTTAGAGTAAACTCTTAACCAGAGCATCTGCTTTCAGCTGTTTGTCTGGAGAAGGATGTTGGGAGGCTGGCAGACACCCAAAGGTAAATAATAGAGTAGTTTATTAAGAGAAGCCCCTTGGGACAGGTTACAGAAATGAAGATTGCTCCATCTCTGGAGAAAGCTGGTTCCTCAGTAAGTTTTCAAGTCTCCCTGGCCTTAGCACATAGAGATTGTCAGCCAGCTGCTCTGGAAGAGGAGCTGTGTAGGAGACAGTGGGCAGCAGAGGCCCAAACCATGTTCAAGTGCCTGGTTTTAGTCCCAGCCATGGCTTCAGCCAGCTACATCCTCTTTCTGTGCTTGGTGTTTTTCTTTGTCAGCTAATACGTATCAGAAGACTTCTCAGCATCAGCAAGAGGATGAAATAAGATGGTGATGTGTGAATAATTAGGAGCTTTGGTAACTTTGTACGTGCTCCATAGAGGTGGAGAATTGTTGTTTTGTTGATGTGTTAATGTGTGATCAGGCATTTTGCTGAGCCCTTGCCCTTGTGGAACATACAACCTCAAGGATTCATTCTTCTAGTGGCCCTTATTTCCAGCCACATCATTCTCCCCTCTCCAGCAACCCTGCTAGCTCAGTCTTCTACCTTCTCTCTGATCTTACCGTGAAAGTGTGATAAATGTATCTGATCCAAGCACCAGGAAGGATTATAGTAAGACATGAAGGCAGTGGGTAACCAGAGGCTCTGTTAGATTAGAACTGGAAGAAGGATGGGCCCTCCTGCTGATGCAGAACCTTCTTCATGGTATCTGGGAAGGACCTTGAGCGTTTAAAGTGGATTGCAAAAGTTCTAAGGGGAAATCGACAGGAAAACAATGGTCTCCACTCCTCTCCTCTAAGGGACATTGAGAGAAAAGAGTTTGCCTGTCTGACCTGGACATCAGAGACACCCCACTCAATTTTAACTCCCCCATGCTGGTTTCCCATGACTTCTGTTTCAGCTCTGGGCCCTGACATTTCGAGGAGCATGCTCCCTCATCTAAAGAACTGGGCCAGAGGATTAGGACAGTGAGCTAGGGAAACAGTACAGATTTCCATTTTGGGGTATTGAGGGTCATGGAAGAGGTCAGCCTCTTCACCACTTGGTTGTGAATCTAGCCAAGCCCCTGCATAGCTTTGGTGCGGGTATTTAGTGGTTAGTCCTGGGGCAGGGTGCCCTGCTCACCTTGTCCACTCCCAGCTGAGTGCCATCTCCTTTTTACCTCCAGATCATCGATCCCAAGATGCCCCGGGAGGGCCTCCTTCACAATGGCGTCCCCATTCCTGTCCCCCCGCTGGATGTGCTGAAGTTGGGAGAGCAGAAACAGGCCGAGGCTGGAGAGAAGCTCTTCCTTGTCCTCTTTTTTGACAACAAGCGCACCTGGTAAGTGGGCACTGCAGCTGGGGATGGTGCACCAGGGTGCAGGCTGAGGGGCACAACCAGGAAGCTGTTTAAATGCTGACATGCTGGAGAGATACACAGAGGAACTTTGGACTCACCCTGCCTCCACCCAGCTGAAGGTGGGGTATTACCTGTCAGCAGCTAGCCTGCACTTGCCATATTAATAGTAAGTTAATGTTACTAACAACACTGATTAATAGTGTTAATAGTAACTGAGATCACATTCCCTGGGAAATACTAAGATGGAAATTGATTCAGGAGGCCTACAGAGGAGAGGTGTGAGATTGAGGGATGCAGCACTGGGCAGAAGGAAAAATGAACTGCAATGCACTTGCTACAGAGGCCTCAGCTGACCTGTGGGGAGCTCTGCAGCTGAGTGGATTGTTAGCAGTGTCAGAAATTGGGGCTGTGCTTTTGCACCTCCACATCAACTAGTCATTGAATGCTGGCTGCCCCCAAGGAGGGGGATGACCTAGGGCCAGGCAGCTCCCTAGGTTATCCGCCTCCTTGGTGATTCTGGAGAGAACTCAGCTGAGAGCCTGACAGCTGCCGGTATATCCAGTGGCTACAGGAATGCATGTCTTGGTCCTGGGGCCAGGGTTCTGGGCAGTGCAGGGTCCACTACAAGGGGCTTGCTTGTTTGTTTATGAGGACCTTAAGGTTTCTCTCAGCACCAGCAGGGGAGTTCTTTCACCTCTGCTTCTATAGAACAAGGAGGTAGGACTAGCTAGTAAAAATGATAATAATAATGGGTAGTAATAGCTACCAGTTATTGTTTACTCTGTATTCTTCTGTAAATTACTTTACATATATGATCTCATTTAATTATTCATTGATTCCCTCCCAATCCATTTTGCAGATGAGGAAGCTGAGCCTCAGAACTGGGGTACAAACCAAGATTTGGCTCCAAAGGCTCGGTTCTTAGCCACATGTTAGATTCACCTGCAGGCCCCACCAGGGATCAGTTTATTGATGCCTGGCATCAGCCCCACTTCCTAGCCATAGCTCCCTGGTTCTCCAAGGCAGGGCAAGGCTCAGAGCCCTGCGATGGCTCAGCCAATCCCAGAGGGCAACACATGGCTCTCTCTTGGCTCCTGGGCCCTGACAACGCCCTAAGCAGAGTGACCACCTTGGGGCCCCAGGGAAGGGCCTGACTACAGAATAGGTCCATTGGTGGCCTTCTCTCTAGGGTGTCCCAGCTTGCCTCCCTCCGCCTGTCCCTTCCTCTTGGCTTTGCTGATCCTGTGCAAGTGGGCCCTGAGGACCATCCTCATGGGACTGACCCACCACGGCCTAGGCCCCTTACTGTGTTTGTATTTTAGGCAGTGGCTTCCGAGGGACAAAGTCTTGCCCCTGGGTGTAGAAGACACCGTGGACAAGCTCAAGATGCTGGAAGGTCGCAAGACCAGCATCCGCAAGTCAGTGCAGGTGGCCTACGACCGCGCAATGATCCACCTGAGCCGTGTCCGGGGGCCCCACTCCTTTGTCACCTCCAGCTACTTGTAAGGGTGGGGCCTGGCCTGTGTCTGTCTGCCCTGCCTCCATCCCAAGGGACACAGAGAAGCATCTCCCTACCCCAGCCACACATGGCCTGCAGCTTCCCCCTTTTATAGCAGGCCAAGGACTGGGCTGTGTCCTTTCCAAGGGCAGGGCCCCAATTTTGATGAACTTCATGGTTCCACTGGTGGGCCTGCTTTGTGCCAAAAACTCCCACCTGAGCTCCCTCAGGGCCTAGTCCACTGAATAACCAGTTAGAAGTAGAAACAGCTGTGAGGCCCAGCTGAGGAGATGGACCTGGCCCCAGAAGGCGAGGAGTCCTGGGCTCTTTCTCAAGGGTGTGCCTGACCCTTTCTACCCCACTCCCAACTAACTACACCTCAGGGCGAGTGAGGCTCTGACATTGACCCCAGGGTGCTTGTGGATACACTCGGGTCCTGCGGGGAATCTCAGTGAGCTCACCCTCTCTCCGCCTCCATCACCCTTTCTCACACCTCTTCCCTGTCCCATTTTCTGCACCTCTTCCCAGTCTTTTTCCCATGTTCCTTTCCTTACTTTCTCTTGTGCCAAACTGACAGAAACCATCACCAAATTGGTTTTTTTGTTCTTATGTCTCATTCCCTTTGAGGCCAGCTGCTATGCTAGGTAGGTGCCTTCGCATGGCTCGTCAGGGCCCAGAACAGAGGCCAGCCTACCACTCGGGTGACCCCTCCACCAGCACACACCTCCTGTCCTCCTGCCCTTCCCTCACCCACTGACCTTCATATCTAAAGCCAGGCTGTGAGAGCTTGCCCCTTGGATTGAGGTGGGGCCCCTCCTGCCCTCTCCCTATCTTGCCAAGGGGTGGGCTGAGGCTAGGTGGGTTCCTGTCAGCAGAGCAGGCTGAATGTATTGTCCATCTGTCCAATTGGATGTCAAGGGTTGTTGGGTGGAGCTGGGTCTGCCCCTTTATCCTTCCTCTCCTCTTCTCATGGGTTTTTCCTTTCCTGCAACTGCAGCCTGTAGCCTCCCTCTCCACCATCATGAGTGGCATGGTTCCTGCAGTCCAGCATCTTCCTATCCTGTGCTCTGCCTGCCCAGCCTCTGCTGCTCCCACTTCTGAACTCCAGGGAACTCAACACTTTTATTTCAGACCCTCTGTCCTCTTCCTTTTCTTTCAATCCCCTCCCCACCATCACCTTCTAAAAACAGAAGGAAAAAAACTGTGAAACAGGGAATGCTGACTGACAAACCACCACAACTTTAAGAGGCTTCGATGTCTGTTCTCTGGGTGTTTCTTTTTACTTCTTAAGCACCAAAGTCGCAGGGCCAGGTTGCAGGCCACTGATTGCCATGTTGATTTTTAACCTGACGTTCTTTCTAATTGTTTTAAAATTTTCATAGGGGAGTTTTGGACAAAACAAGTCACTGGGGAGATCACTGCCATTTTTACACACACAAATTTTTAAAATAAATAACCAACCACCACAACTTCTTATACATTTGGGACAAGAGCCAGAGTTTTAAAGGGAACCAACAAAACTCTCTATAATATAAAAGATGGGGTTTTGGATTTTGTACAATACTAAAAATACAACAACAGCATATGGCTAGGGAAGGACATGGTGTATATAATTGTAAAATATTGTTCTAAATTATTCAGGCCTATAGTTTCCATTACTGGAGTCCTCCTCCATTGTGTGGCTGAGTATTTTAAATGCGCACAGTGTGGTTTATTTAAAGGAGCCAACGCATCCCCCTCTCCCCAGGTAGTCGGTCAGCTGTGGACTCTGTGACCTTTGTCTCAACCTGTGTTGTAAAATCTCGGGGCTTTCTCTATTTCTCTTTCTGTGTCTTTCTCTTCCTTCCCCCTAACACTTTCTCTTTCTTAGTTTCTCTCTTTTTTTCCCCCCTCAATCTCTTTGAATCTTTCAGTTTCTGAGTCTCATTTTTAAAACTACTCTTTTAGAATGGGAAACGGCTCAGATCCTGCTGTGGCATGGGGCCTACGTGTCTCAGTCGCGTCTGCTGTGAAGCACACGATGCTCTATTTATTGTAGAAAGTGACTTTATTTGCTTTCTAGAATTGTTTATAACAGATGGTATAAGAGAGGTAATAAACAGAGAAAAATCTATGCTTGTAAAGAATACAAAAGTTAATTTTACCTACTATAATATGACTGTCTGAAACTTATTTTCTCTCTGAGAAATAAATGTTCTAATGGGCAGCAGTTGCTGAGCTGTGTTTGGTGTTATCGGTGGGAATAATTCCTAATTCCTACAGCCCACCCCCTCCTCAAAAGGCCAGGGGCCATTAAGAAGGGGGTCATCTTGCTATTGTAGGCTCCCAGCTGAAGAGGTGTCTGTCTG